CCGCTCCGCCGGCGCTGCCTCGGAGCTCAGGTGGGAGCTCAGGTGGGCGCGGCCGGGCGCAGGGCCAGGCCCCTCCCAGGCCATGCATTCATTCACTCGCAAGTGGTTGTTGGGCGCCTTTAGAGTGAAAGTTCCTTAAGGACAGGTTCTTTCTCTCTCTTGTGTGTTTTACTGAAGTACCCCAGCACCTAGAACAATGCTTGCTAAGCACTCGCTAAATTCCTACTGAGATCCTTGTGTGGTCAGAAGTCTGATGATTGTGTTTTCACGCTTTTGTGTGAGATGTGCCCCCCCTTCAACCCTTGTTGAAGTTCACACTTGACCCGTCAGACGTGGAAAAGTAAAACTAAAAACCCTTCTGAATGGACGTGTCAGGCAGTGACCTGGGTGTTGAGGGCCCTTTGATGAGCTGCACCAGGCCCACTTTTTTTCTCTTATTAAGCTTACAGGCTATTGGGATGACAGACAGAGATTCTTTCATCAAAGAATCTCACAATGAATATGTACTCATAGACTGGGATGTGTGCTCTAAAAGGGAATGATCTGGTTCTGTGAGGGCATATAAGGAGGGTGCTAACCTAGCTTGGGGGGAGAGGACACTTCTCTGAGGAAGCAACTTGCTTACAGCAAGACTGCTTGTGTGCATGTATGCTGTGTGTGTGCACGTGTGTGTACTCCTCCCTCTCCCAGACCTAACCCTCTAACCCTTCCCTTTTCTCTCAGTCCCAAATCCAAGGCACGGCCATCCTCTCCCTCCACGTCCTGGCACAGGCCTGCCTCCCCCTGCCCCAGCCCAGGGCCAGGCCACACTCTGCCTCCAAAACCACCGTCCCCTCGAGGCATCACTGCCTCACCCAAGGGGCGTGTTCGGAGGAAAGAGGAGGCAAAGGAGAGCCCCACTGCGGCAAGGCCTGAGGACAAGAACCAGAGCAAGAGCAGGGCCAGTGATGAGAAGGAGCCAGCAGCCTCCGCCTCACCGGCACCCTCGCCTGTGCCCTCGCCCACCCCAGCCCCGCCCCAGAAGGAACAGCCCACTGCGGAGACCCCTGCAGGTGGGCATAAAGAGAGGGTTGGGCTGGCCAAAGAAGCCAGCTTCCCATGTGTGGGCGAGGTGGTCAGGGATGTGGGCCGCCAGAGATGCCTGGGGACTGGGGTGAGAGACAGGAAGAGGGCACGCCTGCCCTCAGCAGGTCCAAGTCCAGAACACAGGCCAGTCTTTTTTTTTTTTTTGGTCCGAGTCTCACTCTGTCACCCAGACTGGAGTGCAGTGGCACGCTCCCGGCCACCGCAGCCTCGACCTGCTGGGCTCCGGTGATCCTTCCACCTCAGCCTTCCAAGTAGCTGGAACTACAGGCACACGCCACCAAGTCTGGCTAATTTTTTGATTTATTGTAGAGATGAGGTCTCGCCAAGTTGCCCAGGCGGGTCTCGAACCCGCGGGCTCAGGCAATCCACTCACCTCAGCCTCCAAAGGCGCGGGATTACAGGCTGATCCACCGAGCCCGGCTTACAGGCCACTCTTGAGTTGATGGCAGGAATTGAGTGGGTGGGTCACGCTGGGGCCCAGGAAGTGGGGGCATGCAGGGGAGGCGGAGGTGCCTGTGCTGACTCCTGATCCCGGATCCCCTCCAGATACTGCTGTCTTGACCTCACCCCCAGCCCCTGCTCCCCCGGTGACCCCTAGCAAACCAATGGCCGGCACCACAGACCGAGAAGAGGCCACTCGGCTCCTGGCTGAGAAGCGGCGCCAGGCCCGAGAGCAGCGGGAGCGCGAGGAGCAGGAGCGGAGACTGCAGGCAGAAAGGGACAAGTGAGTGCGCCCTCGGGACTGAGCGGGCCCTCGAGTGAGCTGCAGAAGCAGCACGGGATCTACCCGATGCGTTTCCTCCGTCCTCCAGGCGAATGCGAGAGGAGCAGCTGGCGCGGGAGGCCGAGGCCCGGGCCGAGCGGGAGGCGGAGGCCCGGCGGCGGGAGGAGCAGGAGGCGCGAGAGAAGGCGCAAGCCGAGCAGGAGGAGCAGGAGCGGCTGCAGAAGCAGGTGCCCGGGCGGGCAGGAGCCGGCGGGGCGCGGGCGCCTCTGGCCGGGAGGGAAGGCTGCAGGTGCCCGACGTTGCTCACGGGGGTCTCTGGCAGAAAGAGGAGGCCGAAGCTCGGTCGCGGGAAGAGGCGGAGCGGCAGCGTCTGGAGCGGGAAAAGCATTTCCAACGGGAGGAGCAGGAGCGGCAGGAGCGCAAAAAGGTGGGGTTGGGCGGGGCCGGGGGCTGGTGGGCGGGGTCAGCTCTGGGCGGGGCCGGGCAGGAGTTCCTGGGGCTAGCGTTGCGGGGCAGGGGGGGGTGGACCGAGCCTTGGGCACTTAGAGGGTAGGACTAGAAGGAGCCTGGGCAGGTTTGGCTCCTGGCCTGGAATTAGCTGGGAGGGCCCTGAGACTTCAAGGCCGGAGCTGGCTGGTGGGAGGTACAGGATCAGGGCGCCACTTGGGTGGGTCTGACTGATGTGGGGCCTCCACACAGCGTCTGGAGGAGATAATGAAGAGGACTCGGAAGTCAGAAGTTGCAGAAACCAAGGTTAGGATTCCCCAGGGACGGGGTAGGGAAAGGAGGCTGCGCCAAGGCACCCAGAGACAAGGAAGAGGCTGTGGGTGGGAGGCCGCCGGGCCGGGCTGAGGGAGAGACGAGTTCACACCAGAGCTGGCCCTTGCCATCCTTGGAGCCTGACTGCTCTTCCTCCTCAAAGCAGAAGCAGGACAGAAAGGAGGCCAAAGCCGACAATTGCGCCCCAGGTAAAGCCCCTGTTCCTCTCACAACACCCCCTTTGCCACCGCATCCGCCAGCCTCACCCCTCCTGCCAGCCCCTGGCTGATGGTCCTTCCTTCTTGATAACAGACCCTGTGAAAGCTGTGGAGGCTCGGCCCTTAGGACTGCAGAAAGAGGAGGCCTCCCAAGAGCCCCAGTGGAGGTAGGTACCTGCTCCCAACCCCAGGGACCCTGAGCAGGGAGGCAGGCTCCTGCTGGAGGTGTGGGGTGGGCTGGGCTTTTCTAGAAGGCGAGCTGCTGAGCGTTGGCCCCTGAATCCACAGCCTACCAAGTAAGGAGTTGCCAGGGTCCCTGGTGAATGGCCTGCAGCCCCTCCCAGCACACCAGGAGAATGGCTTCTCCCCCAAAGGACCCTCTGGGGACAAGAGCCTGGGCCGAACACCCGAGGCACTCCTGCCCTTTGCAGAGGCAGAGGCCTTCCTCAAGAAAGCTGTTGTGCAGCCCCCGCAGGTTACAGGTAGGTCACCTGATTCCTGGACCCAGCTCTGTCAATCCCAGCAGCCTTCCCCAGACTCCTCAGCACTGCCCTCTCTTCTTCTAGCCCTGCCAGAGGCCTTTTCCTGCTCCTCCCTGACGACCCCCAGCTGTCTGGGCTTAGGCACATGATTTGCCCTGACTGTTTTCCTTCCCCATTTCTCCCCAGAAGTCCTTTAGGAGGGGTTGCCTTGGATCCAGGTACAGCTATGAGGGCTCCTCTGTATCGTCTACCAGGATGTCTGGAGGAGGAAGAGACAGAGCAAAGATGGAAGTGGCCTGGGCCCCCGGGGGTGGGTCCTCTGTTGTTTTTAATCTGCACCTTATAGACTGATGTCTCTTTGGCTGGAGCCAGACCCTGCCCCTCAGTGCATTTGTGTACTCACATGTGCGGACATCCCTCTCCCCCAGACACACACATACACTCACAGCCTCTCTCCTCCCCCGGGGAAGGGCCGCCTGTAGTATTTGCCTTGGTTTGGTGGGGTACAGTGGATGTGAATACTGTAAATAGCTTGTGCTCAGATTCTTCTGCGTGGAGAGGGTGGGTGCAGGAGGCAGACCCTCCCCCCAAGGTTCCTGGGGAGATCTTCCTCTCTCTATTTAACTGTAACTGAGGGGAAAACCCAGGTCTGGAGATGGGGGGCACCTTGGGCCACAGAATACTGGTTGCTTCAGGGGTACCTATGCCCCCTGCCCTCGCCTGGAATCAGTGTTATTGTATCTGATCAAATGTCTCCGGAAATAAAGTGAGAATAATTCTGTCAATCCTGCCTATTCCTGGAACTGGTGCGGGGAAGGGGAAAACAGGAGCAGATGGCCTCCTGAGTTCTAAGAAGAATTGAGGAAGCCTAGGGCCTGGGGATATCTACACCACCACTGCCCTAGGGTCTTCCAGTTTAGTTCATTCATTTAGTCATTCAGCAGGGGATGCAACAGTAGGAAGGATGTAGCCTGTCCTTGTGGAGTTTACATTCTAGTGGGTGAATGGTGTAGACTCTGTGGGCTGCCTATCCAACATCCATTCCCATCACCCCTTCCTCATTCCAATACAATCCTGATTTGTTCAGGTAGTTACCTTCCTCTTAGAGGCCACCCTGTGCTCCAGCAAGGTGAATCCTTATCATGATTGTGATGAGCCCAAATCATGGCTATAACCTCCTCATTAGTGATTGGCTCGGGCATGATGGGCGTGTGACACAGTTCCAGCCAGTAGACATGAGGAGAAGCCTCCTGGGGGCTTCTAGGAAAGGCTTCCTCACTTTTGAAAAGAGGCAATGCGGTAGCCAACCTCTAAGGTGACCTCAGTGATATCCCCTCCCTTCTAGTGTTCATGCCCTTGTGGAGTGCCTTCCTATGTTATATCAGGGTTGGGCTAAGTGGCCAATGGAATACGGCAGAAGTGACAGTGTATCACATTCAAGAGTAGGTATACGAAACACTGTAGCTGCTTCTCGATGACTCTTTTGCTCTTGGGTTACACACTCTGGAGGAAGGCAGCTGTTATGTCATAAGCAGCCTTATAGGGAGGCCCATGCTTGAAGGCAGATCCTCCAGTCCGTCAAGCCTTCAGATGACTTCAGTCCTGGTCAACATCTTCACTGTCACCTCATGAGAGACCCTGAGTTAGAACCAACCAGTTTAGCAACCCCTGCGTTCTAACCCTCAAACACTGTAAGTTAATAAATGTTTTAAACTGCAAAGTTAGGCCGGACTTGGTGTCTCAGCCTGTAATTCCAGCACTTTGGGAGGCCAAAGCGAGTGGATTGCCTGAGCCCACGGGTTCGAGACCTGCCCAGGCAACTTGGCGAGACCTCGTCTCTACAGTAAATAAAAAAGTTAGCCGGGTGTGGTAGCATGCGCCTGTAGTTCCGGCTACTTGGAAGGCTGAGGTGGAAGGATTGCCAGAGCCCAGCAGGTTGAGGCTGTGGTGGCCAGGAGCATGCCACTATACTCCAGTCTGGGCGACAGAGTGAGACTCCACCTAAAAAAAATAAATAAATAAAACTGCAAAGTTTTGTGATAATTTATCATACTGTAGCAGTTAACAAATACACATAGGAGAAAACCCTGCTTAGGTGACATGAGATCTGACTGGGATGCCTGGATTTGCTGCACACATCCTACCAACCAACCTGAGGACAAAACCAACCTCAAGGACGGCAGAGCAGCGAGATGGGAAGAACCTAGGTCCTTGAGAACACCACTGAAGTGACATACCCTGAAACCAGGCCCATCTCTCAACGACTTTCCTTATTGTTTAGGCCATTATGAATTGGATTTTCTGTTACATGTGGCCAAAAGCTTCTAATTCACGTAGGGACACAGAAAATAAAATGTATGCAGGCACGTCTATTGTTGAGAAACTGAAGGAAATGAACTAGGAGAGAGCAAGGGTGATGGTGGGGAAGGTGTCCTCTAAAGAAGCAGCACTAGCTGGGCTTGGTGGCTCAGCCTGTAATCTTGCGCTTTGGGAGGCTGAGGTGAGTGGATTGCCTGAGCCCGCGGGTTCGAGACCCGCCTGGGCAACTTGGTGAGACCTCGTCTCTACAATAAATCAAAAAATTAGCCGGGCATGGTAGCGTGCGCCTGTAGTTCCAGCTACTTGGAAGGCTGAGGTGGAAGGTTCACTGAACCTAGGAGGTCAATGTTGGGGTGGCCAGGGAGCAGCCACTGCACTCCAGTCTGGGCGACGGAGTGAGACTCCAACTCAAAAAATAAAAATAAAAAGAAGCAGCACTTAAACTTGACCTGAAGGAGGAAGAGGAAGAGCCAACCTTGCAAAAGGAAGCAGGAAGAAGAGTTGCAGGTGGAGAGGTCAGCATATGGGAGCCCTTGGGGGAGTAGGAGCAAGGGCAGCATTGCTGGGGAGAGCAGCTAGATGGGGTTGGGGAGGTGGGCAGAGGCCAAGTCACAGCATGTTGGGGACAAGGAGAGGCAGGAAGAAACAAGTGCTCTCAGTCCTCTCCCTGGTGAGCACTCCTTTGTTTCCCCCCTTCCAGCTCCCTCCCCTTTGCCCAGGCTCAGCCACCAGCTCTGTGCACACCAAGGCAAATGTACCAATGTTTCCCTGAAGGACAGAACCCTCCAAATACTCTTGTGGGGGAATCATTTACTCATCCATTTGTTCAATCAATAAATTGCCTGTGGGGCACAGTGAAGCACCAGAGGGATGCAACAGTAAGCAAAAACCAGACACAGAAGCTCCTGGAGCTTCCTGCTGGGAAAGATGGGTATTAATCAAATAACCACACAAACAAATGTAAAAATAGAAAATGTGGTAAGTGCTATGAGGGCAAAAGCAGGGAGCAATAAGAGCTTATACAGAGGGACTTGACCTGGGTTTAAGGTCGGATAAAATACTCCTGAATGAATGGTGTCTATTCCAAGATCTGTTGGGTGAGTAGGTGGTCGACTAGGCAAAGTCAGGAAAGGTGGAGAAAACTGAAGAAGGAGAAGCACTTTCCAGACAAGGGAAACCCTGTGCCAAGGTTCTGCATGGGAAGGAGGTATGTTTGAGTATCTGGAGGACTGTAAACAGATCTGAAAGAGTCTGTTTCTTCTCACCCTGATCCTTGATAGAACAGTACTCAGTATCTGTTGAATTAAGAAAGATCTGGCCAGGCGTAGTAGCTCAAGCCTGTAATTCCAGTACTTTGGAAGGTCAAGGTGAGAGGATTGCCTGAGCCCACAGGTTCAAGAACACCCTGGGCAACTTGGCAAGATCTCATCTCTACAATAACTCAAAACCACTACAAGTAATGCACGGCTGTAGTTCTTGATACTTGGAAGGCTGATGCGGAAGGATCACCTGAGCCTAGCAAGTTGACACTAGGGTGGCCATGAGCGTGCCACTGCACTCCAGCCTGGGCAACAGAGTGAGACTCCAACTCGGAAAAAAAGAAAGAAAGAAAGGTTCAATGAGGAGGTGGAGTTTAGCATGAGGTGAGCCTGACCATACAAGGCCTTGTAAGACTGTGATCTGGAGCTTGGATTTTATTCCAAGGACCATGGGTAGCCACTAAAGGCTGATTCAACAGGGGCTGAGAAGGGTGACATGACCAGATTGGCAATTTTATTAGACCACTCTGGCTTTTGAGTAGGAAACCAATTGATAGGGATTTGATTATAAACTGGGAAATAAATCAAGAAGTGATTGCTGAGGTCCAGATGAGAGAGGATAGAGTGTGTGACATGAAGTGTGTGACATAATTTTACTTATTCAATCAAGAAACATTTATTGAGCATCTACCATGTGTCAGGTACAGAGGTGCTAGAGTTTTTTTTTTTTGAGTTGGAGTCTCACTCTTGTCTCCCAGACTGGAGTGCAGTGGAATCCTCATGGCCATCCCAACATCAACCCACTGGGCTCCAGCAATCCTTCCACCTCAGCCTTCCAAGTAGCCAGAACTACAGGCGTGCACCACCACACCGGCTAATTTTTTGATTTATTGTAGAGATGAGGTTTCGCCAAGTTGCCCAGGCTGTTCTCGAATGCATGGGCTCAGGCAATCCCCTCACCTCAGCCTCCCAAAGTGCTGGGATTACAGAATTGAGCCACCAAGCCCATCTGAGACTTTCAAGTGAGCAAATCTTTTTTTTTTTTTTTTTTTT